AACAAAACATGGTACATACATACAACGGAATACAATGCAACGATAAAGAATAATGACGAGTCTGCAAAACATAACATGGATGAATCTGGAGGACATTATGCTGAATGAAATAAGTTAATCACAAAAGGACAAATATTCTGTGATACCACTTTTATAAAAAGTTAAGAATAGGCTTACACACAGAAAGCAATGTTCTTTGATGATTACCAGGAATGGGAAGAGGAGGGAGGGAGAATCACTTACTAGATAGTAGACACGTGTTAATTCTGGTGAAGGGAAAGGCAATATACAATATGGGGTGAGTCAGCACAACGTGACCAAGGTAAATGAAGACAGTAACAGTTATGCAAGAATAAAGTACAACTACAGCAACTGCTATAACATATATAATTCTACCACAACAGTAATAACAACCAAAAATTTGTGAGTGGTTACATAGGTAGATATGTATGCTATATACGTGTGGGAGGGTATATGGGAGTTACACGTGCGTGCACATATAGGTACAGTTGTGGGCATTTGTATATACAGATATCTATACACGCATATGTTACATATATATTCACATATATAATAGAGCACATAAATGAAAAAACCCGTTGCTGTGGAATCAATTCTGACTCACAGCGACCCTACAGGACAACGTAAACTGCCCCACAGTTTCCAAGGCTGTAAACCTTTATGGAAGCAGACTGCCACATCTTTCTACCACAGAGTGGCAGGTGGGTTCCAACCATTGACCTTTTGGTCAGCAGCCGAGTGCTTAACCACCACACCACCAGGGGTCCATAATAGAGCACATGGGGGCACGGTTATGGAAATGTCCTAGACATATCCAAATACCTCGTGGGACTGAGTGACTGGGTTTGAAGGCTCAGGACTATAGTCTCAGGGGATATCCAGATTAACTGGCTTAAGCAGTTCATAAATATAATGTTTACAACCTAGTTTGGTGAGTAGTGTCTGAGATTTTAAAAGCTTGCAGGCGGCCATCTAAGATACAACTATCAGTCTCTTCCCATCTGGAGGAAAGAAGAATGAAAGAAACCAAAGAATCAAGGAAGCAATTGGTCCACAGGACTAATGGCCCACACGAACCACAGCTTCCACTAGCCAGAGACCAGAAGAACTAGACAATACCCAGCTACCACTACCAACACAATAGAAGGTCACAGTTAGAATGGGATAAAAATGTAGAACAAAACTCAAATTCATAAAAAAGACCAGACTTACTGAACTGAGACTGGAGGAACCCCCAAAACTATCACCCTAATATACCCTTTTAACCTGAAACTGAAGCCACTCCTGGAAGTCGCCCGTCAGCCAAGTAATAGATTGGCCTATAAAACAAACAGTAACACTTGTGAGGAATGTGCTCTTTAGAACAATCAACTATACATGACCAAACAGGCAACATTTGCCCAAAAGCAAAGATGAGAAGGCAAGAATGAGCAGGGAAACTGGATAGATGGAAATTGGGAAGGCTGGGTGGAAACAGGGAGAATGCTGACATAATTCGGGATAGCAACCAATGTCACGAAACAATTTGTGTATGAACTGTTGAATGGGAGACTAATTTGCTGTGTAAACTTTCACCTAAGACACAATGTCCAAAAAAAAAAAAAGATTCTATGATTCTATATAATTACTTGCCACTCTGTTAATACTTTGAAATGATACTGAATATCATGCACCAGGTACTTCCACAAATGTCTTAGATCATCCTCGCAACAAAGTGAGGCAAATACAGTGAAACCTGTGAGAGCCAAAATTCGACGAGATTGCCTTGTTTTTGTGCGGGGTCTCACAAGTTTTCTGCCTTTGACAGGATGGAATCTTACAACTTTTCTACTGCTCATTTTAGTAGAAAATATTTTTGTTTTCCTTCTCTGACAGGTTTCTGCCTTACACAGGTTCCAGCTTTCACGGGTTTTACTATATTTCTGTGTCTATTTCACAAATGAGTACAGTGAAGCTTAGAGAAGTAAAGTGCCTTGTTCAAGGGTCACAAACTGGTAAGGAACAGTCAGTATTCAAGATTTTTGTTGTTGTTGTTCCAGTCCATCCCACATGCAACTTGATTTCTTTCTAGTACATTCACAGGGAACTACGTGAATGCCTTCAACTCTCTTCCCAGGACCTCCTGAAATTGAGCACACTAGTTTGACGGTGATGAGTTGACTAGGGAGAAAGTTATTTTGGGTGGGAAGCAGGAAATTAACCCCAAATTCTACAGTAACAGAACACCTTCACCTGGAGACGTTTTACAACTTAAAATATCAATCTAAAAACATCTACAAAGTTTTTTTTTATTCCGTTAAGCCAAAATGCACATTGCTATTAAACATATGGCCGGGGTACAAAGCTGGCTCTCAAAAAGTAAACTTAACAATAGAAAAGCAGCAATTTTTATATGCTTTCCACTAAGCAGGGCATTCTAAAAATTCCAAGACAATTCTAACAAACAATGAGTGGCAGTGCAGTAATGAGATCTGCTCTATCAAAGTACTTAAATGTATAAACATGACCTTCAGAATTTTCAGGCATTAACCATATTTCTATCCAATGCAAATAAATTCAATTGCAGTTTAAAATTATGACAAGAATCCTTTTGTTGATGCATGGTTTAATTCTCATAAACCAGTGATCATATTTCAGTCCATTATTTACTGAAAAATTTCATAAACATTCAAGTTCTGAACCCCGAGGTCAAAATTAATTGAGTTACCATATCAGCCAAGGTAGACTGGGGGGTGGGGGCGGGTGGACAAAGGCCCAAGAATGATCAACCTATCTGTGGATTCAATGAAGTTCATGTCATGTACTAGGGAAAAGATCACAGAGAAGATCTAACTACTATGGCCATGGAAATGACAATTTAATAAGAAAATCCATGAAGCACATTTACAAGGAACAAACGTGTACTCATCCATTCAAATACTTCCTGAGCATCTGCTATGTTCTCCACATGCTGGGGATGAAGAGGCAAATTAGACCCCAAGTGACGCCTGCTGTCATGGAGGTGTTGTAACAGATTTATGCACTATTTACAGGAGAAGTGAATTATTCCTGGGGAGACAGAGGAGGGTGGGAGGAGAATAGGGCAGAAAAGGCTTTAAAGAGCATAGGCCTTAAGTGAGTATTTTTAAGAGGAAAATTTTCAGTATATCAGCTCTCTAGAAAATAAGTACTTACAGGGAAGAAGTAAATTCAAATCAGAAAGAGCAGTGAAGACAGAGGAAAGAAGGTAGACAGAGGCTGTTTCACAGGAATAAGTTATGTATCCTACAAAGTTATGCTATAGGAAAAATACAAGGTTTCAGAGTCATAAGATCTTAGTTAAATGCCAGCTCAGCTGCTAGACTGTTTTAAGTTTGTTAAGTCACTTCATTTCCTTATTCCATAGGGCTATTGTCAAGGCCAAATAAGATACACATCAAACAAGCCAGCACACAGATGATCATTTTCAGTAACTATCTGAAACCACTAAATAATTCTTCATCCATAAAAACAAGTATGTATAATATTACTTGATAACAACGCAACAGTTGTTTTTTTTTTTTTTAAAGAACTAAGGAAATCAGCAATCAAATCTGAGCAGAAGCTATAAAGAGTTAAGAGAAGAATTCTCCAGGACTTGTTGTAGGGTTTACCTTATTCGTGAAGAGCCTTTTTTAAAGTTCATTTAACAGGACTTTAAAGCTAAGTAAGACATTTTTATTAAAAATAACCATTTATATTCATTTGCTGGAGTAATTCTAGCTGAATCTTTTCTTTTGATGCCTTAGTACACCAGTTTAATTTCTGAGGAGATTACATGTGCTTTGCAAATAAGTAACTTAATACCATTCACCTCCCGTGCTGTAAGAACCCAAAGAGATTAAAAATAGAAGCTTTCGTTAATACTGAACTACCAGAGTACAGAAAAAAGTAAATGCTCAAAACATGACAGCCATGCACCTTTAAGAAACCAAGGGCGGGGGTGAGGGGGGGCTTGGAAATGTCAAGATCACTTCACCTTATTCTTAAGAGAACAACACATGCCTTTAAGTCTCTCAATAAACGTTTGTGTCTAATCTTTCTTTAATGAGTCTCTTCAGCAACTGTACTAAAACACAACAAAGAAGGCATTTATCAACTTAACATACTTTGTAAGTCTATGAATTAGAGAAGGGCTTAGTTATCTGCAACCTTAATACCACTCACACAAGTTACTTCTATAATGTACTAAGAGCACACGTGTATTAAGCAACAAGAGAAGCGAGCTCTCGACCTTTAAGAAAATTTTAAGAAGGAAAACTAAGTTCGGCAACAAATCTTAAAACTTTAAAAGACTCTAGATAAATAAGGTGTAAGGAACATCGCTTCTATCAGAGCAAATTCTGCGGTGCCATTTTTTTCAAGTCACATAAAAATATGCTTTTCAAGTTACAAACGTCCCTGATCCCCAAGCCCTGCGAAGTTTTTGGACAGCAAGATAATGGGTCCTTAAGACTCCACTAGCCATGACTAGGACCCTAGTCCGCAAGTCCTACAACTTCTCGCCCGACCGCGGGACCCCCTTCCCGCATCCGCCCGACCCCCGGCCCACAGGCTCACGGACCTGGACGCCCGCCGGGCCCTCCCGCGGTTCCCCAGCCCCGCAGGCCAGCCAGCCGGACAGGCACCGGCCCGGACCCTCCCAGGCGGTCCCCGAGCCCCGCGGCGGCGGAGTCCTGCCGGCGGGGGTTTCTCGCTCCCGGAGCTGAGGGGCCCGGGGAGACGGCGGCAGCGGCGGCTACTCGCCCGCGGCCCCCGCCCCACCACGGGCCAGTCCCAGCACGGAGGGGAGCGGGTAGGGAGCGCCCCGTTTCTCACAGACCCCAACATGGCGTCGGCCGCCGCCGCCCGCGACGACGACACCTCCCCGCGCCGCGGACTGCCCCGGGACCGCGGGAGAAAGCGCCTGGAAAGTTTCGCTTCTCCCCTCCCGGCGGATCAGAGGCCGGGGGACAACCAACCTGGTCTTCACCTACCCGGACAGGCGCGGGCGGCGGCGGCAAGGGTGAGAATCTTCCTCGTCCCGGGCACTGGGCGCGGACTCTGCCCGCTCCCCGGCCCTGGCCTCCCAGGGTGTTGCGGCCGGCGGCCCCGCTCAGCCGGAGCGATCCGGACGCGGCGGGCGGCGTACG